CGTAAATAACGAAAAATCCACTGTACTGCTTTCCAGTGTTCTTTCCCCGGGTTCGCCATGTATCTACTAACCATGCTAACAACATAAGCCAAATCAGGGCGCGTGCAGATCATAGCATACATCAAAGATCCAACAACACTAGAGTATGGAACACGTGCCATGTAAGCCATATCAGTCTCATTAGTAGGACTCAAAGCGGATGATAGCTTGAAATGAGTTGCAAAAGGTGTGTTGACAGACTTTGCTTCGTGCATACTGAAGCGTCTTAGGACTTTCTCAATATAACTTTTCTGAGAAAGATGCAAGATCCTAGACTTCCTGTCACGAATAATTTCCATACCTAAAATCTTTTTGGCAGCTCCTAAGTCCTTCATTTCAAATTCAGCTTTCAATTGGTCTTTTAACTTCTGAATCTCCTTCATATCTTTTGCTGCAATCAACATGTCATCCACGTACAAGAGTAAGTAGATCTTTGAACCATTGTCACCTTTCTTAAAATAAACGCAGCTATCATAGGTGCACCTGCTGAATTTGTGACTGGTCATGAAAGAATCGAACCTCTTGTACCATTGTCTAGGAGACTGCTTGAGGCCATAAAGAGATTTGTTCAACTTGCATACGTAGTTCTCCTTTCCAGGAACTACAAAACCTTCAGGTTGTTGCATAAAAATCTCTTCCTCAAGCTCACCATTTAGGAAAGCTGTAGTGACATCAAGTTGTTCTAACTCAAAATCGTTAGAAGCAACCAACCCCAACAACACACGAATGGAAGTATGTTTGACAACTGGGGAATAAATGTCAGTGTAATCAATACCAGGAATCTGACTGTAGCCTTTAGCTACTAACCGAGCTTTGTATCTTGGTTTATCATTTGGGTTGACAGGTTCCTTGAGCTTGTAGACCCACTTGCATTTAACTGGTCTCTTCCCTTTCGGAATAGGAACTAAATTCCAAGTACTGTTTCGCTGCAAGGATTCCATCTCATTTTGCATAGCGAGCATCCAATCATTTGAGTCTTCAGATTTGATAGCCTCGTCATAATTTGCAGGCTCCGTTGCAGACTCAATATTATCAACAACAATAAAAGCATAGGCAACCAAATCAGATTCATCATACCTCTTCGGAGGAATAATCTGTCTTCTCGGTCTATCTCTTGCAATGCTTGGAGTAGTAGCTTGTGGTTGTGAAGGTGTTGAATCTTCACCAACAACATGCTCATCCGACGAAGAAGAATCTTGATGCTGATTTGTACTCTGATTAGTGGTAGGTGAAGTAGGAAGCTCCACCTCCATTTGAGCATTCTCTTTATTTGCTTCGGATGATACATCTGATGCATCTGTTCTTTTAGAAGAGTCAGCAACTGGTTGAAATATAGCAGACTCATCAAAAGTAACATCTCTTGAGATGATAATTTTCTTCAAATCAAAGCTCCATAACTTGTAACCCTTTACACCTTGATTGTACCCAAGAAAAACGCATTTGATTGCTCTTGGTTCTAGCTTCCCATTGTCAACCGTGCATATGCTGGACATCCGAATGGTTTTAAATCTGAATAATTTGCAGGTTTACCGGACCATAATTCAAACGGAGTTTTCTTCTCGATTGCTCGTGACGGTGATCGGTTGATAACATAGCAAGCAGTTGAAGCAGCCTCCGCCCAAAAAGACTTTGGCAATTTGGAATTAGAAAGCATACACCGGACCTTCTCCATAATGGTGCGATTCATCCTTTCAGCTACACCATTTTGTTGAGGTGAATGGACTACTGTGCGATGTCGAGTAATGCCTTCCTTTTGACAATAGACATTAAACTCTTCTGAGCAAAACTCAAGTCCATTATCCGTACGAAGATACTTTACCACCAGACCTGATTGCTTTTCAACCTGAACTTTCCAATTTCTGAAGGTAGAGAAAACGTCTCCTTTATTTTTTAAGAAGAAAGACCACACCTTCCTGGAGAAATCATCAATAATAGTGAGCATATAAATAGCTCCACCTTTTGAAGCAACTCGAGCTGGTCCCCACAAATCCGAGTGAACATAATCAAGTGGTCCTTTCGTTGTATGGATACCACTTGCAATCCTCACTCGTTTTGCCTTGCCATATACACAGTCTTCACAGAAATCCAAATCAACAATCTTTTGTTGACCAAGTAAACCTCTTCGACTCAATTCTGACATGCCTTGAAAACTCATATGGCCGAGTCGAAGGTGCCAAAGACGGGACTGATCTGGATCAGAAAAAAACTTTGACACAACAGCAGCATCACTCGAAATTGTTTGCCCGTCAAGAAAGTAAAGATCTGAGGTTTTTCGTTCGGCTCTCAGTTTGTCGGAACCGTCTTTGAATACCCTGAGAACTCCACCTTTACCAGCAAACTCGTATCCCTTTTTGTCAAAGGAACTGAGAGATAACAAGTTTCTTTTGAGGTCAGGAACATATCTAACATCCCCCATGGTTCGAATAACTCCGTCAAACATACGGATCCTGACTGAACCATGTCCAAGAACTGGACATGTAGTATTGTTACCCATCAACACATAGCCCTGGTTAACCTTTTCAAATGTGTAAAACCAACTTTTGTTGTGACACATATGAAAAGTACAACCAGAGTCGAGTATCCAATCACCAATGGAATCCAGTTTATCTGAATAAACTGTCAAAAGTTCTCCAATACCTTCGACCTCAGCTAGATCAGCTTCACCCGAAGTGCTAGCTTGTTTACCATTTGCTGCCGTCTTCTCTTTTTCTTTGTTCTTCAACTTGAAGCATTCTTCAAGCACATGTCCCTTCTTGTGACAATAGTTGCAAAACTTTCGTTTGCCTTTTGACTTGGATCTGGTTCTGTTGGAAGATTGAGAAGTTCTACTTCTCTCTGTTGTTCTTCCTTTGGCATTCAAACCTTCGGCTTTAGCATCACTTGAACCACCACCAGTAATATGCTTCATCTTCTCTTTGGAATCCAAAGTTGTATAGACTTCATCTAAAACTAGAGTGTCACGGCTATAGATAATAGTATCACGAAAATGGCTATAGGATTCTGGCAACGACGATCGTAAGAATAGAGCCAAGTCTTCATCTTCATACTGAACATCCATATTCTCTAAGTTATTTACTAACTCTTTAAATGTGGATATATGTTCAGCTAAAGAGCCTCCTTCAATCATCTTGAGATTGAACAACCGTTGCTTCAAGTGCAACTTGTTTGGTAAGCTCTTGGTCATCAACAGTTGTTCCAACTTTAGCCATAAAGAAGCCGCTGACGTTTCTTTTAGAACATCTTGCAAAACATCGTTTGACAAGTGCAAACGAATTTGGGATAAAGTCTTCAGATCTTTCATCTCCTTTTCTTCTTCGGTCCATGTATCGGGCACCTTATTGAAACCCAAGAGCGCCTTGTGTAAATCCATCTGAATGAGAATGTCTCTCATCTTTACTTGCCACAACGGAAATCGAGTGTTACGATCCAGTAGTGGAATATCGTATTTTACCGAAGACATGATTAATTACTTGATAAAATGATCCCAACGAGCTAATATCACAACCCGGATTCTCTGATACCAATTGTTGTAAAATACGACGGATTCAAATTGACTTAAATAATATTAGCTCAATGCGGAATGGGATCAAAAATTATCAAAGCGTAATAATCACAACGTAATACGAATAAAATAAATAGAATAGAGACACAGGAATTTACGTGGAAACCCAAATCGGGAAAAAACCACGGGCGGAGGAAGCCGAGAAACAATTCACTATAATTTACAGTGTTTACAGGGATTATGAAAAAAAATTACAAATAGAGTGGGAGAGCTAAAATATACGGTGGTGTATCAGAATATATATATATATATATATATATATATATATATATATATATATATATATATATATATATATATGTGTGTGTGTGTAATAAAGCATTACACACATATATATGTGTAAATATATATATATATATATATATATATATATATATATATATTTGATTTGGTTCGTGGGGTTTTTTTTTTCAAGCCTTCTGGCTTAGGCTATTTATAGCCAAAAGAGAACATATGAAAAGGAAAGAAAAAGCCGTCCATAATTATAGGCGAAGAAGAAGTTAGGCGCCCCACATGTAACTCACCGTCCATTCTCATTTTCAATTTCACACTTATATTACTATTCATAGTCAAACTATGAATAGTAAATGATAAGTTACAGAAATAACCCCTGAACTATTTGTCACTTGCTAATTTTGGAGGCAACTTATCCACAATATATATATAATATATATAGGGACGTTTTTAGATATTAAGCTTATCGGGTTCATATCTACCTTCTGAAAATGGTGACCCTGAGAATCGAACTGGTGGGCTCAGTATCTCAGTTTGTACATGTGATGGTAATGTCATTGGAGGTGCAGTTGGTGGCAGGCTTGTCGCATACACTTTGGTACAGGTGTGATTTTATTTATTATTATTTTAAATTAAAAAACAATGTAATGTAATGAAATGATGTGATTTTGTTGTTTGTAATTGTAGGTAGTGGTATATAGTTTTGTGTATGGTGTTAATAATATCAATGTGAAGGTGAAGGCCAAAACAGAGTCAACATTAATAGATGATAGTCAACACTTTGTTGAAAAACCAGTGGCTATTCCATGGCAACTAGATACACAAGCTGGTGTGAGAAACTCAAGAAATGAGATTGACCTTATGGATGGATGATGATCATGATGATAGTATATTATCAAGACAACAATGGTTGGTGTTGGTGTATAGTTATGTTGTAAATGAATGCTAACGATGGAGAAGAGAAAAAAAAAATCTTCAAGACTTAGAGATTATGATGAACTCATGCATGAGTCATGTTAAGGTTGTTAGATTGGTTGTGGTAACATGGAAATCCACCATTTTTATGGTTGTTAAGTATAGCGTTAGGAGCATTATTTTAACTTGGTCATAGTAATGTCTTGAAATGTGACATTGTCATTGTGTATTTGTATTGTTTGTGGTTAATTTTACAGAAAATTCACTTGTGTGAATGTGTTCTCGTGTACATACATGTGTGTATTGTGAAACTTTGCTAAAAAAATATAGCCACTTCTCTTAAGCTTTCAACTAAAAATTAAGAAATGCTAAAACGATGTTGTTTTGAAATGTCAAAGTTAATAAATAGACTCCATGAGTTCAAACTCCATTACACATTAATCTCTCATGGAAACAAAAGCCTTTTGTGATTCTATGATGAAGCATCCAAGACACCCACGAGTTTCTGCACATCTCGCTGCAAAAAAGATTGTCAAGTTCACAGATTTAAGCCTCATAAAAGTTATCCAACAATAAAAGCAATCTGCAAAAAGCTGTCAATTCAATTTGTTGAATAAAATTAAGTTTTTACCTCGATTGTGAGGGGTGAAGTTGTGGGGTAGTAACGTTCGACAGGTTGTCCATTCTTATCAACCAGGAATTTTGCAAAGTTCCATTGAATGTCATCCCCAAAGATCCCCCATTTTCCAGACTTCAAGAACTTGTATACTGGTGCAGCATTATCACCATTCACTTCAATCTACACCATATTAGATGAATCATGAATGGAAGTGGATTTTATAATAATTTAAAATTGAAATTGGATTTTACTTTGTCAAAAATGGGAAACTCTGATTTGTATCGAGTGCAAACAAACTCTAGAATTTGTTCGTTACTCCCAGGCTCCTCTTCCCCAAATTGATTGCATGGAAACGCTAAGATCTCCAAACCTATCAAGTTTTTGCGATTTTTTGAGATTATAAACACGAATCAAACAAGTTATACACTTGAAAAAAGAACCTTCATCTTTGTATTTTGCATAGAGTTGATTTAATTCATCATAGTTGGAATTCGTCAATCCACTGTCAAAAAGAATCTTTTATAAGTAGAAGTGAAATGATCAATTGACCATACATAAGTAGCTAAATAATCGAACCATTTGGAGGCAACGTTGATTACAAGTAGAACTTTTCCTTTGTAGATGCCAAGATCCACGTTATTTCCATTAGCATCCTGCATACAATGAACTGAAGTTAAAAGCTTTCAAATCCAAATATGATTGTGTTATATGACCATATCAAATTTGAGCTTTGACTTTAAAAGTCAAATCTGGAGCGTCAAATTGCATAGGGTTATATCCCAAATTACAAAATCAAGCTGAAACACACATCGAAAATCAGCTCTTTGTCAATGGGTGTCGATCTTTAAACATCAAAATGTTGAGAAATCAATGTGTTAACTTGTATGATAATAAAAGTAATGAAAGTAAATAAATAAATTAGCCCTAATAAACATAAGCTTGTTCTTCATGGTGAAAGCTAGGTTTCTTTACCTTGATTGTGAAATCATGGATTGATTTATGTTTGTTTGCCATGTCTGGTTGACTGATCGGAGGATAATGGCTACACGAGGAAAGAAGGGAGAAGAAGAGAGCTTGACCTTTTTGTTTGATAGCCAGTCTGCACTTTAAGATTCGCACCTCTTCAAATAAATTTAGGTTTACATTAGACGTAATAATTAATAAAATTTTTAAACTCAGATATATAAAATGTTGTCTATATAGATATAATAATAAGAGTCAAATAAATTTAATTTCACAGTAGAATAAACTCATTACATTGCAAAAAAATCTTAAACTCATTATATAAAATGTTATCTAATATGAATATAACATTTGCAGCCTTATAAATAATTAAAAATACATTAATGAACAAATAAAAAACATAATAGTTTAGTTTCATCTTTCTCCTCTTTAAATGAGGTTATACCTTCACATTGGGTTTAGGTTTTATAGGACACATATTCATATTTCTTACCCTTTCAATTAACGCTGCGTTTCAGACATCATAGCTAGCTGAAAAGCTAGTTTATTTTTCGACATTTTTTAATTGTCGTGTTTGGTAAGCTAAAAAGCTAGCTTCTAAAAAGCTACTTGAAGTAGTTTTTCAGGAGCTTTTTTACAAACTTCTCAAATATACCCTTAATTAATCATAGAAAAACTATTTTAGAAAATGTACTTTTATGTAATTTTATATCTTTCAGCTAGGTTTTACTTAACATTTTTTTATCGGCTAGCTTATTAGCTAGCATGTAGCTTTTTAACCATTAGTTAGTTTTTCAGTTATCAATTAATTTTTCAGTTATCAACTAATTTTTTAGCTACTAGTTAGATTTTCAGATAGTGCGTCAAACGCAACCTAAATTGTTGATTCTAATGGAGAATGCATCTTGAAACATTTCGAATTTTCAAAAGGGTTTTTTTATTCTTCAAAAAAAGAGGTTGAGTTTTTGTACATATGGTTTTTTTTATGTAATTAACCCGAAAATTAGATATTTAGAATGCCATACATATTATAATTAAAGTAGCCATTTTGTTAGAAATGTTTTCTTATAACTTTTTTTTTTTAATTTATAAACATGCAGGGATAAAATCATTACAATACAAAAATCTGTAACATATAAACAAATCAACTAATGAATATTACATTTGTAACCTGATGAATCATTAAAAAATACATCAATAAACAAACACAAAACAAAATTAATATAGTCAAAAATTCAGTTTTCTCCTCTTTGAATGATATTTAACCTTCACCTTGGGTTTAGGTTTTATAGGAAACTTATTCCAAATTCAAACCTTTAACCCTTTCGATTAGGTTATTGATTGTAATAGAGAATGCATCTTGAAACAATTCAAATTTTGCATTTGGGTCTCCATATACTAATCTTGGCATCAATTCATAGACTATATATCTTCTCATATCATCCCTCTCCTTCAATGTCACTTTCATCAATCTTTCCACTACATTCACCTTCATCTTCCTTACCTCTTCTTGATCCACAAATACTGAATACTTCTCATGATCCTCGGGCAAATGCCATGGATACTGATAGTATGCCGTAAACGGGTCGAAAACTACTGGAATACACCCGGACACCAATGAGTCAAACACTGATTTCCTAGTCGGGCTATCTCCCGGAGGCTGAAGACAAAATTCAGACTCTGTGAATAACCCTATCAGTGATTTGGGCTCGTCACAGAGCCCTGACTTACAATCGAAGAACTTACAGTGTTTTTCGGTTGTTGATGTACATTGGTCTATCAGTATAGACCTAATGTTGTCTAGGGCGCCGGGACGGGCGGCGCCAGCGAAGCTGACAAGGCTTCGCCGGTTTGATGAGATGATGGTACGTTGCCATGAACGGATGTCAGCATCGGACTGTGGGTGGAAGTGAGTTGGGTGAGGGATTCCGATGTCATTAATCTCCCATGGTTGTCGTTCGATCATGAGCTTTATTGGGTTTTGCATTTCTTCAAGCTCGAGAAATCTTGTCCCCCATTTAGTATGCTCCTTCCTCCTGAAATCCCATGAAATTTTTCCCAAAACAAAGAAATGATCTTTGCCTAGGTTCTTATCCCATGGCTTTTGCATTTCGAGCCAATTTAAGAGTTCCAAAGACAAAGAATCCTTAATTTCGCTAGAAACATTCTTGAAATGCCATCTCAAGATGTCTAATCCACCATAATATGGAACATAGAAGAGTTTCGCTTGGTTTTCATCGTAAACACGGCATGGATGGTTTAGAACTCGGGAATGGAATATCAATTCCAACGAGTACTGATGAGTCCGGAACCAACGATTCCCGAGCTGTGGTATGGGCTCGCCCAATGCGTTGTTGCTAAAATACTTACACATGTCTACCCAAGGAACCATGTTGTGACACTGATCCACCAACTCCTTGTTGAACTTCGGTGGCAACTCATAGACATAGATTCCTCGTCCTTCACACTGGTTCTGATTCTGATTTGTATTCGTGATCCATGACCTCTGGACTCGTAACTGCTCTTCCACTTCTTTCCTTGCTTTCTTGATCTCCTCAATCCAATCGTTCTGAGGATTAGGGTTTTCAAGATTGACGTTAGAAACTTCCTTGGAATTGCCTTTAAGGTCTGGCATCACCTCAGCCACATCACTCCCGACTTCTTTCTCCTGTATAGCAGGTGGGTTGTCAACCGCAGCTTCGGGAACTTCTTTGGAGTCGTCTTTGAGGTCACTCGTTACCTCAACCCCATCATTCGTGGCTCTTTTTTCAAGTAAAGGACTCGGGTTTTGAACAACGTCACTGGAAACTTCTTTGGAATCACCTTGGAGGTTTCGGTTAACAGAATTGTCATCCAAGACAGGAAGCGAGAAACTCTTTTCTTTTTCTACTTTTTCTTCAAGAACAGGAATCTCTTTATCAAGAAATTCTTGAGAAGTGGAATTCGTGAATGGAAGATGGAATTCCGCGTTCGGTTGTGTGGTGGCTGAGAGACAGTAGAGGTTGCTCAGCTTACGAGAAGAGACACACACATGAACGATCCTGCCTGAAATATACGTGGTGGAGGAAGACCACACCAACATCAGGATCATGAAAAAGAGAGCTGCGGGAAGAGGATACACGAACATTGTCACACACGATCGGAAACAGCCTCTTCTGTATTCAACCTTTTTCGGTACTTTTGATCTCCGCTTAGACAACAAAGTCGCCATTTTTGATAAGCTAGCAAGAATGGCACTGATTTGGATTTGGAGTTCTTCCCGAGCTTTTCTAGTAGGAGAAATGTTGCTTGCTTGGCTTCACAGAAGCATATCATTGTCAAACAACATGAGTGCACGTAGAGCTTCAATGCATGATTAGTTTGTTTAAAATACTTGGAGGCACGATCTGATTTGTACATTAATTAATTAAGGCAAAAAAAACGTCAAACTAATCCCAATCATTTATTGTATTGGGTCGTTACATACATCTAACAAATACAAAAAATCACGTTTGTTATAATATAATTAGCATCAACAGCCCGACTCAAGGATCAATCTGAGTTTGATGTCCGTATCGACCAAGAATTGACACGTTAGCATTCTAAGGTCAATAGGTCATCTTACATTCATTGAACTCTTAAAAAAAATTAAATGATTTGAAAAATCAAAATTCCACTCTTTATACAACTTTATCTATAAGTTTAAAGTTTGAATGAATTTGATGAACTGACACATTAGCATTCTAGTTCTCATCATTTGACATCTATTTATTAGGCAATTATAATACACAATAGTTTTAAACATACAGTACAACACAATAATCTAAATAATTCGAGACCTATAAAACACAATAACTTAAATAATATAATACATTTAAGTGAAAAAAAAATCTAATTATTATTTATCTAAACTTAATTTTTGGTTACTTAAATTTATGGATTATCTAATGAAAAATTGAACCCACCGTGTAATACAACTAGTAATCGTAAGACTGTTCCATTCAACACACTCCATGTTACCACTAACAATGAGATTAACCTCACTCCATCTTTCCCGCTCCTCATTAAAATCCTATAAACTTTGCATTGTGGAGAATGGAGATCTTAAGTAATTTCTACCATTCGTGTTGCACAATTCATTTAACATACACAAATCAATGAATATAAAAAATCCCGTCGTTAACATATGTGGATTCACGGAGTAGTTTAGATTTATCGTTTTAAAAAATAATAATAATAAAATGAAATGTATCGGTATATGAGCATTTAATAATATATGATACCATAGGTAATTTCTAAAATTTGTTTTGCACGATTCATGTGACGCACATCGATGAACTTGAAATGTATCGGTATTTGGACATTTGATAATAATTGATATGTATTTGATATCAATGTATTATTATAATATTGTTGAGAATGTATTAGAGGATATTCTTGATCATGACAAATCTTCATAATCTCTTTATATTACTTTCTTTCCTATGTTGTATTCTAAAAGTCTTCTTTGTATATCTAATGTATAAAAAAATCGCAAATCACCCATGAGGGATGAAGGAATAATATTCCTTACATGGCATCGGGAGACCATTAGGGTCCACATACAATATTATGGTACTATCTATCTCAATACCTTATGGTATCGGGAGACCATTAGGTAGGCGAGTTTTGACGACTAAAAGATCAGTCATTGATATGTAGCTTAAACTTTTGCAATAAGTTAAATTAATCACCATATATTAGCCATGGTCGGCCATGGGCATATGTAGGGGTCTTTAGTATTTTTTGAATCGAGATCAAACTTGTTTTATACAATCGTGCACTCTGCACTCCTAACTTGTCTAAGATCAAGATTTGAAATTCATTGTAATATGTAAAATCAGTTATACCCAAAAGGATAAATTGTGATGACATTATCAGAATAAATAAAAGTAGCTTTGGTAATAGGTAGAGAGATCTCGAGAAGTTGATTTCATATCCAACAAGTTTGAGAGACAACATTAGCAAACCCAGATTACTCGACTTCGGTGTCAAAGCAAGGAATGGCAACCAGTCGTTTTGTCTCTAAGAAAAAACACAGTATATGGATGTTGATTGACATGTAGTGAGTGTGCCTCTTTCTCTAACCCCCTCTTCAATGGTGGAGAGGTTATGCTTGTATGGTCATGCCACAAAGAGTGTGTATACCATTCAACCTTACTTAAGAAATATGTAGGGAATCAAATATTTAATTTTATTATGATTATTTATTCTAAGAGTTCCTTTTGATAAAATTTATCTTTAGAACTTTTTCTACTAATTGGATAAATTCATTAGATTTCTATTATTTCCTAATTTATATGATTTCTATCCAAATTAGAAGTCATGTTAGGGTTTTAGTTTGATTATAAAAGGGCTAGTTGACTTTGAGTTTTAACATTTGATTTTGATTAATAAAGGCTTAGCGGCACAGCTTGTTGCCCGTTTGCCATCTCACTCATTGTACGATGACAATTAAAATATTGATAGAATGAAATTGATTAATAAAGAGTGATATTCAAAACCATATTTTATGTTCTTTGTGTTCGTGTGGTTGTAATCGAGCATTCAGTTCGATTGTCTAGGATGGTATAGAGAAATATGAATGGCTGAAAAACCAAATTCCTCTTAGGCGTGGCAGACCTCATGATACACACAATGGACAAGTTTGTTGGCATGGTGCTATGAATGATGCAACCAATCTATGTGATTAGAGATTGAACGCCTACAACAACAGATCAAAGAACTCGACTTGTTGCATCAAGACTCGTTGGGAGAAAAGACTTAATCGGAACTATGTGTCTGGGAAACGACTACTAGGAGGTCAATCAATTTTCTAGACCAAGAAGAGATCGTCGGGATGATCCATTGAGGAACATTGATTTAAAGGTCGAGACTCCCAAATTTGCGAGATTAGAAGTATCCCTTTCGAGTTTTCCTGAATTTAAACCAATCTTTTGGGACGAGGAGGATGAAGATGAGAGCATTCCATTTTGTAACACCGACTTTGTGTATGATACATAACCCGTCTATGACACCGATGATAAAGGTGAAGTTGTTAAAGAAGAAGCGATTTTTCCAAATCATATATATCTCCAAAGTTCGGTGGAATCTATGATCGTCCATGTTATCCTGTTTGGTTCATATTTATTCGTTTAACAGTCTAAAAGTTGTTTGCCCTTTGGAAGTTGTGGACGAGGTATCAGAGATGAAGAGATGAAAATTTTATGACACCGATGATAAAGGTGAAGTTGTTAAAGAAGAAGCGATTTTTGAAAATCATATATATCTCCAAAGTTCGGTGGAATCTATGATCGTTCATGTTATCCTGTTTGGTTCATATTTATTCGTTTAACAGTCTAAAAGTTGTTTGCCCTTTGGAAGTTGTGGACGAGGTATCAGAGATGAAGAGATGAAAATTCGAAGATAAGTCCTTTTTAAGAGAGGCATCAGGGTACTTGAAAGACAAATCAAGGATCTAATTTTATTATGGTTATCTTATTTTAAGATATCTTTATTAGAAAAAATATCTCCTAGATAAAATATTTAGATTTATATTATCTCCTAAGTTATATGATTTCAATCATAATTAAGAATCGTATTAGGGTTTTAGTTTGATTATAAATATGCTAGCCGTGTTTGAGTTTTAACGGTTGAATTTGATTAATAAAGAGCAGTATTCGAAACTCTATTTTTGTTATCCGTCTTCGTGTAATTGTAATTGGTCATTCAATCCGATCGTTTGGTTATTAGACCTTTGCCTACAGTGGGCTACCTACTTCTTGTTCTTCTAAACACAATCGCATTTTCGTTAAAAGGTTAATCAAACGGGGTATAGTCGAAGAAGCCTTATGGGAATCAGCTAAGCGCATAATGCATAATGCATTATCCCTTCTTTAATCTTTGAGACAATAATCAACTTAACGAATGGATACTATTGATATTGATATCGTAAGTTAGAAAGTTTGAATAATTAAAACAATGATTCTAGCAACATACAAGGATTTATTAAACAATCAAAATGAGTCCAAAGTTTCCAGAGTACAACCTAAACAACACACCTTATTTGTCAATCACTTGGCTTAGCAACCAACTGAGCTACTCAACATCCTTACAGCATACTATCCGTCCTAGCTGGCAACCTTCGGAAGAAGTTAACAGGCACAGATGGCAAACGATGACGAAACCTAGGATGCCTCATCATATACACCCCAATCAGAGCTGCAATCGCCTGAAACGGCGTCACATACAACACAACCGCCGCCACCAAACAAAAAGTCACAAAAATAGCAGTAGCCCGTGGATCCCTCCAGCTCAAAAGCGACTGCATCCTCTCCCCTTGTGTCGCAATGTCCCCGACCACCGTCTGTATCCTTCCGGCCACACTTCTTAACCGATCATACCTCATCCTCACCAAATCAGGATTCCGGCTAGTCGGAAAAGTATCAAACTCCTCATCCAGCTCATCAGGGTGGACCCCTTCTGCCTGTGAAATCTTTGTATTCATATGTGGCGGATACCTAGGCCGATACCTGAAGTTCCAGATTCCAATCAGAAACATGTACAGAAACACCGTCGGCAATATCAGCTCCGGGAAGCAAACCAACATGATGAACAGGACATGAACAAGAACAGTAGTAATCGGATTCCTCCACATACAGATATCCCCGAACCACTTCGAAACCGCAAAAAGCGGCACGAAAATCGTCATCAACCGGAAAAAATTTGCTTTGCTCCGCCGCATACTCCAGAGGTGGGAGTCTACATCTGACATGTACTCCACCACCTCCTTCCTGAGTGGCGGCTCCGCTCGACCGAGCCGAGCCGCCACTATCAGTACGGCCTGGTGACGCAACATGTCAAGTTGCATCACACTGAAAGGCCGTACATAATGCATTTTGGGCAACAACGGGCGCGTATACGTATACAACATGTTAACAAAATTCGTGCAAGAAAACCGAATCGCTAAATGAACTTCCCCCATTTTTTTCACCCCATTCGGGTTTAAAACAAGTAACGGGTACGAATGGGTGTAAACCCGACCCGCTTCAAGAGTCGAGATCCGGATCCGGACTTTCCCGATTCTCAAATCTTTACTGTTTGACCCTTTGTCACCTAACTGACTGTTGTCGAATACACCGACAGTTAAAACGGTTGCAGTATCGAAAACTTCCCATGTGTATTGTTCGTTGTACTTCGGGCATAAATTGTCGACTATGGTTCGGGTCCTGACCCATTTATGCCCGTATTTTGCTACACAGTAAGTATCGGATGTCCCACGCCCATCTCGGGTTTTCATCGGGTGGAGCCCGACCGCATTCAAAATCCCGAGTTCCAAAACCCCGATTGTGGGCTTCCAAAGTTGCTTTGCGGTGGGTCGAAGGTCACTACTATAGTGAGTCGACTCGTCGAGTACATGGTAACCTCCATCCAAACAAATCCTAAGATGAATCCTCATGGAAAATTTATCTTTTTTCAACTGGTCAACATCAACCGCAACAGGCTTTTCGAGGTTAAACCATCGCGAATGGATAATCCGGTCATCGGCCCGTTTTTCAACCATGGCCAACGGGATGATGACCCGCCCGAGAATCTCGTCTTTTCCGGGCCCGACCCGGTCCTCCACGGTCAAAATCAAATGGTCCTCAAAAGGCTCGGCTGCAACAAAAAGTAAATCTTCATTCCATAACGGGTTAAGCGAACGGGCCTGGACCGTTTTAGTCTTCATGACCTGGTTCCCAATGTGGGCCTTTACATAAGTGTCCGGGAACCGGGACTTATCAGTTGGAACCAGGTCTTGGGCTTCAACCACATTGACCCGGACATACCATAGCCGTGGTGCTTGGTAGACCTTTGACCGGATCAGGGTCGAGGCTGCACCAGAACTGTCAACCGGTGTAGCCGCATCCGAGTGCCACGCGTCTGGAAACGCTTCATCGGCTTGGGTCCCAATCCAAACCGCTAACATGAGCTCGCTTTTTATCCGGTCCCCCTTTTTGTCCTCGAGCCGGTACCATTGTGGGGCCAACGGGCTATCGGGTGGGACCCGCAACGGGACTTCGTTTAAATCAAACCTAACGAACCCGACAAAATCGTCTTTGACTAAATCTTTATCTTTGACCACAACTTCAAGAACCGAAGCTTGCATTCTCTCTCTAGAAAACGCGAAAACAACGTTCCACATTGGGTTTTGGTTTTTTTCGATGTGACGTGTGACGCCTTTATAGTTTCCGATTTTAACCTCGACATACGGGTCGAGACTTCCGGTTATATCCATGGAAGGAAGATCACGGGCTTTCACGACGCGTACAAACAAGAAATGCATCTTTTCAACAAGATCATAAGTAGACGAAGCTTTATCGGTTCGAATAACCCGCCCGCCAACGACCCGCCCGCCACCCAGATAGGGGCTGGTTTCTTTTAGGGCATAATCCACGGGTTGAGAAGAAGATTCTGAGTACATACGAACGAGTTTTGGAGGCTGAGGTGGCGGGTTGGGTTTTATTTGTTCATACCCGTATCTCATTGCAGGTGGTGGGGCCGGTGGGACACCAGTGTTGGCCGGAGCTTGAGTTTGAGTCTCATGAGGAAGATGATGAAAAGTGTGTCTTTTCTCACTATTTTTCACGGGTTCATGAACTGATTTAGTGTTAACAACCGGGTCGGAAGTTTTGATTGATGGGTCATCGGTTATATAAACTTTAAGCCCGAGTTCTCCTCTTACACGAGAAAAGATTCCACGTTTCTCTAAAGGGTAATGTAAGACGACAGCGTCTGAATATGGAACAAACGAAGTTCCAGTTATGGAGACTTTACCTAAGAAGGATCGTGAATGGGTATCTTTGACATTGTTGTAGACGAAGGCATCGAGTGTGAGATTTGAGAGGATTGATGGGTCGGAAATATTGAAGTAGAAGCTTTCATTCCAAACCGGGTCGAGGTCCTTCTCTTTGACTGTTGTTCTGTATTTTTGACCATCGAAATAGAGCTCGACGAAAGCACTGGATGAACCTTGACCATCTTTTGGAAGAAGATTGTGGGCCCCTGCCACGTCTACACCGAGCTTAAGGTTCATATTCTTGCCGGAAATTCAAGAATGGTGAATCAAATTAACCTGATAAACATGAAAATAATTCAAATTCAAGAAGCGAAAACAACAAAAATCTTGTTTCTTTTTGTGTAAGATCTAGATTTCTTTATAAGAAAAGAGTTGTTACTTTTTTTATACGATGTACTATGCTAATCGAACTTTAAGGACAGATCCATGAACTTTAAACTAATAAACAATATAATATATGTAATAATGTAATATAATATAATATATTATATTATATTTTAAGATCTAAGAAGTGGGAACTGTAATGGCTGAAAGTTAAAGTAAAGGGACCCTAAAATGAAGGTAAAGGCACATGACACTATATGACTATTCACCGCATGAATCAAAAGATAAAGAGAAGAAAAAGAATAGTGAGATGATCTGATCTGTTTATAAGACAAAGCTACAGAAAGTAAAACCTAACAAAAGTTATTCATAATCCATACAAAAAAAGGACACTCACTTTAATCATTTGCAACAAAGTTTCGAGATTCTTGGATAAAACTGAGTGATTCTTTTAAATTTGAACGTATTAAAAGGAATTTATGTAAAACCCACAAAAAAATGAAGAATCTTTGACCTAGACGTCATAAGTACGGATCTCTATACTTGTAGGTGAAGATCAAAAAGGGTTTTGAGGATCTGGATATTAACATTAAAAAACAAAAGCAGAAAGGCATTCAAAATTCAGAGAAAAGATTGGGAATTTTTCAGATTCAAATATATTTATAGAAATCTGACAAAAAGCTTAAGATCTTGTAGAAGAAGGAGATTTTGATCATTTGTAAATTAAAAACCAAGAATCAAAAGCAAATAATTTCAAGATTCTTGGATAATATATGATTTGACAAGAAGATTCGTCAGATTCGAACAAAATTAAAGGAATTCTGATATTACCCAATAATACAAAACTACGATCATTCTAAATGACACTATAACTTGCATATCAAATCCAAAATGAACAGGAAAAACTTTGAGAATCCTCATGAAATGATGCCTGAGATTTAAGGAAATTCATGTAAACCCCAAAAAAAAAAAAAAAAAAAAAAAAAAAAAAAAAAACCCACATTACAACTGACCATACATGAACAGAAAAAGCATCAGTTTCAGTTTTAAATCAACAATAATGCGAGTTTTAATACCTGTAAAAAAGATAAAATAAAGAGGAAAAGGGTACCCAATTCAAGAATTTCAACAAAGGCCAAGAGCAATCAGATCTCAATTGAGTCATAATGAAAAAAAGCAAGTCTTTTTCTTAGTAATCTGTATAAAAACAAGAAAGTGAATAACAAGAATCTTATACTTACATACGGTTTAAACAAACCAATGCTGTAGATTCAAACAAATTACTATGAACCCACAAAACCCCAGATCTCACTCCCCTCACAAAGAAAAACAAACAACAATAATGACATGAATTCTGAGCTAAAAGCGAAAAAAGAAACTACCTGATTTTGAGCTATGAACACCACTAGAAAGAGGGGTTCGGGTTACGAATTTGTTGGGTTGGTTGTGTTGAAGATAGAGTGAGGTAGCGAGTAGTATCAAAATCTGACAGGCTCTTTTTAAATTAGCTTGAAGCCAAAAGAGAAGAAGTGGAGAGAGAAAACAAGATTGTGTGTAAAATACCTGAGAAAGGTGTTAAAACCATAAGATGTGGAATAAAATAAGGTTTAATTTCAGAAGAGGGAGCCATTAGTATCTTTTTTAAGTGTTTTTCAAGTAGTATTTTCTGCTTATATGGCGCGCAAAACGAGATCTTCGTAGTGACGTGGCTATTGGATCTGGCTTGGGTACAGAGGACCATACTGGAAGACGGTGAATCAAAGTTTGACTATTTTTTTAGTCACATCTAACTCGTTTCATTTAAATCACTTTCAATTTTATCATATGTTTCAGACGGATATGTACTGTTAAAGTTATAAATCAAATTAGTCCATCATAAGATGCTACATGTATATAAAGAATCGCTTTTGTAAGAACAAGATCATAATTTTCACTTAAATTTTTTGGTCGTCTTCGAAAGCTATGAATATCGATGATCTCTATTAAAGATAAGGACAAGAAAAAGAAAACGTATAGTTTGCGTTGATTGATGCGGATATTGAATGATGTTTTATGACATAATATAATTGTAGATGCTATATTGCTATTCATTTTTGTACTATATTAATTTGTTTATTACATTTATTTGTAATTACATTCTACTCCAATAACATGATTAGTTTGGATTGTACAATGTACTAAATGTCGTATAATTAGGCTGACCTAGCTTGAAGTGTCGAAACCAATTTCTGAAGCCGCCAAAGGCAGCATTAATATGAATAGTCCCAATTATCCACTTTCAGATCGGCTCATATCCAAGAAAACATGAACATGATGGGGCAAACATAAAAGGGATTTATAGCAATCATTACGATGGTACATCCGATTACACCAATATGTCTAACAATGAGACCAATCTTATATTTTGATAGAATCGTTTCTCCTTATGGACTCTACGGCCTTATATCTCTATTTGGGCATGACCACTCCACCTATAAAAATGCCCGAACAAACATCCCCTATCAGGGTATGTTATTCCTTGCTCAAGATTTCTTTAGTACTCTTACATTTTCTGTTGAATACTTATTGACTTGATTGTTGAACCAAATCCATAGGGACTCTCCCCAAGATTTTGTTGATTGTTTGTTGTGTTGTTACCATGTACTCGTCAAAGATCCATGCCAAGTAGCCCTTTAATCTGACAAACATATTGATGGTAACATCATTTGGCATCGTTCATGTGACATCAAGCAAACAACGATGGTCAATATGCTTTACATGCTTACAAGAGATATAATTTTGACTTAATAACATACCACTGATTTTCATATGAAATAGTTAAGTAGGTGGTAAGACATGAAGTTCACGATGGAGGTGACTTACCCATACATTTTTTACGGTTGTATTGACAAGAGCATGGTACTCAAATATACAGCTAAATATCGTAGGTGATGTCTTGCACTCCAAGAGACTAGGTTTACATCCGATAAAGATAGAGTCTCCATAAGTAGACCGTCTTGTTTCAATGCAATGAGCCTAATCTATAACACCCAAAAAATCAAAACAAAGTTCACTCGAAAATTTTCATTTTTAATTTACAAAATAGCTCGATGTACATTTGAGTAACTAGTAGTATACAAGTATTTATCAAATGGATTATAAATAACAAAACCAAACAAAGATTTGAGACGGCCGTTCTATCCATCTAACATTTTTTCTATTTTCCAGCTACTAGTGTTATACCATTACTAGGTTTACCTTATTGAAAGGCACAACAACAAATAAAGGTCAAGCTAAGCAAGCTTAGTGAGTAACCTAGTCAGCATACACTCATAACATCAACAATAATTAATCATAAAAATTAAACTCACATCAGCAACTATAAAGTATATAAACCCTTTCAAGAATCCTCACTATATCAAGCATGTGGTAAGACATGAAGTTCACGAAGAAGGTAAGTTACCCATATAATTTTTACGGTTGTATTCACATGAGCATGGTACTTAGATTCACACCTAGACGTAGATATTGTATATTGTTACTTTGCACTCCAAGAGATAAAGTTACATACATTAATATAGAGTATCCATAAGTAGATTATCATGTTTCAACACATCGAGCCCAATTTATAACATCCAAAAAATCAAAACAAAGTACACTAGTAAATTTTTATTTTTAATTTACAAAACAACTCGGTGTACATTTGAATTAACTAGTTGTATACAAGTATTTTATCAAATTGATCATAAACAACAAAATCCAACAAAGATTTGAGTTTGACATTGCCATCCATCTAACAATTCTTTTATTTTTTTTCAGTTGCTAGTGTTATAACCTTACTAGGTTTACATGATCTGAAAGACACAACAACAAATAAAGGCCCGTCTACGCAAACTTAATGAGTAACCTAGTCAGCATACATGCATAACATTGACAATAATTAATCATTAAAATTAAAGCCACATCAGTAGGTATAAAGTATATAAAGCAACCTTTTAAGAATTTTCACTATGTCAATCCTTCCAACTAATACCATTTATGTGTCTTCTACAATAACGAGCTATAGTTTTATTAAAATTAATCTACAACTACCAACAATAGGTCTTGTCATAAAGGTTTTGCCTTGAAACCAATCAATGGTATCCAACTATGGCATTACGACCACAACGGCTACCGTTTCAATCAACACCATTCGTCTAATGTATCTCGGACACAAAGGCTACCATTTCATTCTACAAGAATCAACTTTGGTATTATGGCCACAAAGGCTACTATTTTAATTAACAACATACATCAATCGTATTACGACCACAAGGGCTACCATTTCAATTAACAACATACATCAATCATATTACGACCACAAAGTCTACCATTTCAAATCAGTAGCTATCAGCAATGGTTTTTGCCACAAAGGATCACCCAAAATAAACCACTAACTATCAACAATGGGTCTTGCCACAAAGGCTCACCAAAATAAAACATCAATTAACAATTATGGTTCTCGAGTGTTGTAACAACGTAAATTTTCAAAACAATTTTTCATTTTTAAAACATAATTTCATTCATAAGATATCATAAGAATCCATTGTATCACATGTCATCATAATAAAACAAATCCCAAGATCTCTAATACATAATCCCCCATCAGTGTGTAAGATCATGCGGCGCCTTCCCGCGATCCTCACTGGTACCTGAAACACATCACACAAACACTGTAAGCATAAATGCTTAGTGAGTTCCCCAAAATACCACATACGCACATACGCCACTCAAGGCTATAGCTCTACAAGACCTTTCGGTCCATGTGTCTCAGGGGACTTCCGTACCACAATCCTGGTAGACCTTCCGTCCTACCCATAATGACCTTTTCCGGTCCATATCATAATGACCTTTCGGTCCATATCATAATGACCTTCCGGTCCATATCATAATGACCTTCGGTCCATAACATACTACTCATAACATAACATAGCACATACATATAAATAACAGCATATATCACATACTCCTCATAGCACATAAGACCTTCCGGTCACACATATTACCACTCTAGGTAAAGTATAGTGAGAAGACTCACCTCGTACGATGTCGGATAACCTCTCGTGCTTGATAACCCGACCTAGCCTCCTCCTATCATAATAACATCTCTAATCAATACTTTCTCTTGTCCTCATTTCTAAGGAGTGGGTAGAAGACCATTCTACCCCTCCCAGATCTTTCTCTAGAACTAGCTTGACCAAAACCCTAAGGTCAACTGAAGTCAACTCAAGTCAATGGTCAAACTTTGACCAGACTCGTCGAGTGCACTTGTGTGACTCGAGTGAGTCCAGGCGTCTTCCGAATCCTCATAGATCCTCACTCGACTCGTCGAGTTAACCTTTCACTCGACGGGTTACCACCGGTCATGAATCACGGGGCAACCCGACTCGACTCGGCGAGTTCCTTCCATGGCAACACTCAAATGACCTTCTGAGGTCAGATCTGTTTCTCTAACCTATAGATATGACCTTACCATACTCAATAATCACGTAAAGGTCCGACCTTTACACTCATGCAACGTTCAATATGCTTCTTTTGGTGAAATAGCCTCTAAAATGGCAACCTAGGCTCATATCTCTAAGGAAGTAGCATAAAGCAGGGAGGTTGGGGCTCTCTGGACCTCTCAAGGTCCAGATCCAGAGTTTAACACTCAAAGGGACATCATAAGCATCATATCTAAGCCAATAAAGGATAGAGAAAACCCTAGATTCAAAGGTTCTTCACAAAAACAGAAAAGGTTCGATTAATACCTCAAAGATGGAGTTTTCCTTGCTTGAAATCACAGAATAGCACCCCTTTGACCTTCTTTTGCTGGAACCTCCTTCTTCTTTGCAAAAACCAACCACCCAACAAGGATAAAATAGCCCTTCTCCTCCCTCACACACCACACACTCAAGCTCACTAGGGTTTCTCTCTCTGGACTGGTAGCCGCAAATGAGGGTCATAAGGTTCCTTAAATAGGGCACAGGCCCGAGGATTTAGGGTTCCACCCACAGCGCCTACTCGGTGAGTCTACTCTTGGACTCGTCAAGTAGTTCATTAAACGCACGTGGCAACCCCCGCTTCTACTCGACGAGTTATAGCACCAACTCGTCGAGTAGGTCAATGATTCACAAAAATAAATAATAAAAATAATATACCTGGAATCCGGTGTTACAATTCTCCCCCACTAGAATCAGACTTCGCCCTCGAAGTCTCGTTCTGCAAACAGCTCTGGATGTTGCTCCCGCATCTCCAACTCCGGCTCCCAAGTCAGCTCGGACCCTTTCCGATGTTGCCACTGGACCTGAACCAGGGATCGCGATCGGCTTCTCAACATAATTCAGGCTCGCATCCACCTGAATATCTTCTAGTGGTACACCGCCGACTCGTCGGCTATACACTTCCTCAACTGAGACACGTGGAAGGTATCATGTATCTGGCTCAACTCCGCAGGTAGCTCTAAATGATACGCTACCCTGACCACCCTCGCAGTCACCCTGAAAGGACCAATGTACCGGGGCCCCAACTTACCCCTCTTCCTGAATCGGATCACTCCTTCCACGGAGACAACCTTCAGGAGTAACGAAGTCAACCAACCTGAAATTCGAGCTCGGATCGTCGTATTCGCCGCATAACTTTTTCTGGCGACTCTGAGCTGTCAGCATCCTTTGCCTGACCTGCTGTATCTGCTCAGTCGTCTGAAGCACTATCTCAGTGCTACCTATCATCGTTGCCCTAGCCTCTACCTCTCCCAGTAGATGGGAGTCCGACACCTCCTCCCATACAACAACTCGAAGGGAGGCATACCAATACTCGAAGGGTGGAGTTGTATAGGAAACTCAGCCAATGGGGAGTACGTGTCCCAACTTCCTCCGAAGTCCAACACACATGCTCGAAGCAGGTCCTTGAATGTCTGGATCGGCCGCCACTCGTCCCCGTCCATCTGTGGGTGGTAAGCGATGCTGAAATGCACCTCGTACCCAAATCCTCATGGATTTCTTCTAGATCTGGAAGTGAAACGTACATATCGATCTGCACATCGAGATCGGTACTCCATGCCGCGCACACCACCTCTCTCACATACATCTCTCTGCCAGTCTCTCTGCGGAAGAGCTCTCACTAATAGCAAGGAAGTGAGCACTCTTCGTCAGCCGGTCAACGACACCACCCAAATTGCATCGACACCCCTCGACGGTCCTCGGCAATTTGGTGATAAAATCCATGGAAATCTTTTCCCACTTCCACGGGGAACCTTCGAGTGGCTGCAATTTGGCCATGCGGACGTTGGTTGCTCGGCCTTAACCATGCGACAGGTCAGCACCTCTCAACAAACCACGCCACAATAACTCTTCATACAAAGGGCCACCAATACCACCCTTCGTCAGGTCCAATACGTGGATTAATGTCTAAGTAAAGTCCATAACTATATTTGGGTATGTTAACTTGACCCGCCCGGCATGGTCCATTTGGGTTGCACTTCACCAGGCACAATTTATATGGAAGTCTTTTGAGAATAAATTTTTGATTTATATTAATAGTTATAAGTTTCTAATATATTATATGGAATCAGTAGTTATTTAATGTATTGATCAAGAATTAATTTAGAATTAATTAGGATCAAAAAACTAATTAATATGGACTCTTATATATATGGAATGGGCCCAAGTTCATTTAGGATTGGGCTAAAGCTTTCATGGATGGTCCATGGAGCT